GGCAGTCGAGGCCCGGGAACCCCGCGCCGCCGTCGCTTCCGTGGAGCGCCCCAGGCTGCGCGCTCCGGCCGTGGGGGCCGCTGGCCGAAGCGTGGCTCCTGGGTCCCCGGGAAGGAGGATACTGAGACAGGCACGATCCCGCGTTCCGTCAGCGGCGAGTCCCGGCCTGCGGGAGCCCTGGAACACCTCAGGGTCTGGGCTCCTCGCGAGCTGCCTCCGCGCCCCTCGTAGAGTTTATTTTCCTGAAGCTGTCAGTACTCTTCCGGGCCATTCGCGTGGCACATGTTTGCCGCCCACAAAGGGAGTGTGAGAGGCAGGCAGATTTGCCCTCCGGAGTAGGCTGGCCCCAAGTGTTGATGGCTCTTTGGGGAACTTTGATCTCTTTGGAGCCACCTGGAGCTTGCTCCCTCGCCCTCAAAGTGTGCACAGATTGGACGTGTTCGCTGTGCCCCAAGACGCTCTTCAGTCTCTTAGAAATAGTAACTTACTTGTCTCTTTGACTTAAGAGCCCAAAGGATACTGGGCTTCCAGAATAAACTAACTGCAACTATGATGCCGGAAGAACCTAAGATTTAACACTTAAGTAGTCTTGCTCCTGCTAACACGTTAAGTTTTTCTGGCTGCTTTGTGACAGCTGAGTGTACTGGGCAGAGTGGCTGATCATTTTAAGTGAAACTTTGTTTAACGAACTCATTTGCAAGACTAAGCCAGTCCTCAGATCCAGTTGGGGGAAATGCAAGAAGGGACTGTGACATCCGAACTTCTCTTCGGGGGTGTAGTGATGGATCCTCATTCTTCCTTTGGGACTCAACTCTGTCGTACTGCCCATGGAGTGGTCCTTTCCTGAGGCAGTGGTCAGGATTCTCAGGTGAGCCTGGACTGAGGCAGATTTCCACTTCAGGCTCTGGGAAGGGAGTCTCTGCCTCATAATACAGTCTGAGTATTTGAGTAGAGCCCAGCCAGGTCCTAAAGGCTGGAACTACTCTCCAGTGTTACATGGGAAATGCTCAGACAGTCTAGGAAAGCTTTTTGGAGTCATTCCAGAGAGCATACAGGTAAGTTCTGGCCATGCTCATGTTGGAAGGGGTTTGCACTTATCACAGCCATAAATCATCTCAAGGTGAGTGCTTCCTTATTTTTTTGTTCTGGTGGTCAAGCTTAGTAAATTTGGGGCATGCTATCTGTTGTCAACTGTAGAGGAATCCTTCCTTTACATATTATAAGTCTATAAAGTGAGATGAGCCTGAATTTTATCTAGACAAACCAGAACTTAGGCATAGACCCTGCTATGTTAAAAATAGTTGTCCCAAAAGGTTATCTTTGTATTTAATTGATGCTCCTTTGCCAGAATCTCTTTAACACTCCTGTTACGGTAGTGGATATATAAGCTGTCTGAGAAAATCAGTCACATTTAATAGTTATACTCCCTGTTTGACCAGAACTTGCCTTACTTGGCTTGGTAACTCACCTTACTCCCCAGACCAGGCTCTGAATGACTTCTGACTATTTCTCAAACTAATCTGCCTTGTGGAGGAAAATTTGCTGCCACCAAAGAGAGCCAGGAGAGTGATCTGGAGGTCTGAAGATTACTCTCAAAGAGAAGTTCCCACGTGTTCTGTGCTTCAGCAGTGCCGTTGGAATCAGTGCGTGGACTACCAGAGTGACTACTGGGAAAGGAGACCACTCCCTTTCCATGACTGATTTTTGGTGTATTCTTCTCAAAATTAAGCAACTATTTAGATTTTTTTTTTCCTGGTGTGCAACAGGTACTTTAACAAGATTTTGTCATTTATGCATTTATTCACCAAACACATTCATCCAGCGCCACCTGCCAAGTGGAGACACAGTGTTGGGTGGCACTTGTCACCCTGCTGTCTGGGCAGGTTCACAATCAAAGGACTGAAGGTTTAGCTCTGAACCTTGCTGTGAGCCCACGATTCAGGGTGGTCGTGTCCGAAGATCAAACTGAGTAGAAACTGATCTTGGGGGTCGGTTAAGACTTGTTCAGAGGACCCCCATTTTATCAACCACACTTAGTAGGCTGTGTACTTCTCTTCCTAGCACCCCAACATATCGGTTAAGATTTGCCCAGATGACTTCATCTCATCATCCATGCTTAATAGGCCGTGTACTTCTCTTCCCAGCACCCCAACATAGAGTATGCACTCAGCTATTTGCCAAATTGAATTAATCTCAAAACAGGACCTGGACGCCCAGAGAGACAGTTAACCTGCCTAGAGCGGGGCCTGGAACTCAAGACATCTTATGATTCCCAGGGATGTTCCCTTCTCTTCTGTTCCATGTGGGGTTACCTAGGTTGCTTCTGATAAACATGTAGATTTGTTGGCATCTGAAAGGTGTTCACCAGTATGTAGGCTCAAATATTGAAGTACTGTTGGTTTCCTCAGGAAGGACGTCAGTGTTACTCCTTCTCAGTAAACTTTTCAGGGCCTCCCAAGGGGTGACTTTGTCTCAGTGTGCCTAGGGCAGCCCCTCTTTATGCCTGTGGTAATTGTTAATAGTGCCTCCTTTCAGTCTCAAAATGTCCTATTTACACAATAAATTATGTGGTAGCTTTGCTGCTAAGCACCAGCCCCTCTGCTGGACTCAAGGAACACAGAGGGGAGTCAGAGTCCTCCGACTTCATGGCAGGGCAGGGAGCTTGCAACAGATTTTGCAGACAGATGTTTGCAATGTAGCATGTCAAGTATGGATACTTAATGAAATAATGAATAATGTACTTAGGGCAAGAGTTTTTAACCTGGGAGCCATAGGTAGACCTCAGGAGGTTTTTGAACTCCCAAAAGTGTAAGGTAAAATGGTGGTGTATATGTAGGTTTTTATAGGAAGAAGAGCCATACCCTTCATCGCATTCTCAGGGATCCATGATCCCCAAAAGGTTAAGTATCAAGATGTGAAGAACAAGGCTGCCCTCTGAGGGTCGTGGATCCTCTCGGGGCCCTTTTGCTCTCGTGCTGTGCGTGCTGGAAAATGCTTTTGAGGCTTGGGGAAGCTAACCGCATCTTTGATGTGCTGGAGTCGTTTCCGTGATCAGACTGTGCTGGGCATGCAGCCCCATCAGTCCTTCTTACAGTTACTTTACACACCACAGTGCACCCGCCTCAGCACTTCCTTTGGTCTCAGTGGACTTCTAAAGGTGGGCTCCTTTTGGGAGTCTCTTTTATTGGATTCATGTTTGGTTTAGGGACTCAAGATTCAGACTTCTTACAAGTTTAAAATCGTAAAATAAATAGCATGTGGCCATCCCTATTATTTGCCTGGTACCCTGTATAGAGCCTGTGGTGGCTTTTCCATCTAGATGAAAATATGTGTATTTGGTTCCAGTAGGGCTGAGGTAGTATAGATTAAAAAAAAAAACAAAAAACAAACCTGTTGCTGTCGAGTCTATTCCGACTCATAGCGACTCTGTAGGACAGAGTAGAACTGCCCCATAGGGTTTCCAAGGAGCAGCTGTTTGCCTCTGGGCCCCAGAAAAGCCTGTGACCAGACTATGAAGTTTGTGCAAACCCACCCTGAACAGAGGACAGTATGTCGCAGGCTTGGCAGATGCTTTCTGCAGAGTATCAAGGGTGTCATTTACAACTAGCTAGGGCACATTGAATTTGCATAGCATTTTATTGATTTGGGAAGTAACTTTGTTTCCAAGGTTGCCATTAGACTATAAAATGTGAGAATCAGAATTTGTCAGGTTTCAAGTAAGGGTGTAAAAGGCTGAAAGCAGTTAGCATTTGCTGCCTGCCTCCTGAGTACCCTTGCTGCTGAGCTAGTTCTAGGGAGATGAAAAGACCCCTGCCCTTTGATGGAGAAGAGTTTGTATATACAATGTAGCAAAAACTATGGCAAAGCTGGTTATAGGATGTTGTGCACAAAGGAAAGTTTTATGTGTTGGTTTTACTGATAGTAATAGCTAAGGATTTGAGGAAAAAGATTGCCAGTTTTTCACTAGCCTCAGACTTACAGTTGTAACCACCCCACACGCTTTCAGCCTTGAACAGTTAAAGAATGCAGGGGTCTTAGGAAGAGGCCCCTGTCCTTAGCTTTTGTCTTCCTTGTTCATGTGCCTTAGGTTGTTAGGAACAGCATGTGCCGTGAGGGGCTGGGCAACGCACATGGAAGTGAGGACACGTTAGTAACTCCTTCCTCTAGGAGTGACTGGATAGTGTGGTTAGAAGGCTGGAAAGGGAGTCATTTTCAAACCTGACTTTTTAAGTGACTGAGAATGGATTGGTTGACTTATAAATTTCTATTGCTGCTAATCATTTAGTTTTTGTAAAGTAACTTGCTCAGTTGTCATTTCCATTAACAGCAACAACAACAACAAAAAAAAAACTGTAGGTTTAAATGCCCACTCTTGGTATTTCACATCTTTGAACACAGGTTCTCCTTTAAAAAGTTACTTAAAACGTATATATACATACGACTGGCTACCTGTAGTCCCATCGTAATCTGAGGTGAATAACTTTTTCCCAGTACTCCTGTGATGCCAAGCAGCATGACTGCAAGGGCATCATTTTAAATAACAATTGTAAATAGTGTGTCGCCAAATGAAGACTCAGGTGCACGTTGGTCCCTGCGCTATTCCTGCGATCACACAATACTTTGGTAGCACCTGTTGCCCGCTGCCTTGGTGCAGGGGTGAGTGCTCGCTTGCAGACTCTGTGGTGGGGTGCAGTCTTTCACCCACCTTATCGATCTATGTTTAAAATAAATGGAGCACATACAAGCTTGAGGTGGGAAAAACAGAAGATATTTACTTTATAATTAAATCAAGATTAGTCAGAATAGAAATGAAGTCTTCTAAAACGACACCCTTGGTCTTGCTCATAAACACGCTTGAACAACATACAGCTTTCAGCCAGAGTTCCTTTGCATGTCAAATCCTGCATTAGACAGTGGCCCTTGCACTGGGTGCGCTGTGATGAGGCCTAGAAATCTCATTCTTAGAGAGTACCAGGTGGTTTTGATGGGAGCAGTAAGGCCAGGCACTGAGACGTTAATTCAGTATAAGGAAAATCCCTACAACCCACGTCTCGGCCTTAGACCCCTCAGGATGATTCCAGAAAAATGGTCAAATGCACACCTTCACTTGTAGTACCGCATTGGATAATGTACATTTTCTTGAGTTTCAGAAGTAATTTACTCTTAAGAATTCAAGCAGCTGTCCTTTGCTCACTTTCTGTTGGCTGTTTAGGTTGCATTTGTGACGAGAAGGGGTTACGGGACCACACCGCTGCCAGGTTGCACTCATGCACACCTAGCTGAGTAGAGCTCAGTCTTGGGGTGCTGGTATGGGTTTAACTGTCTGTCTTTCTCCCCAGTGGGACAGCCAGCAGCAGGTCTGCAGTGCGGGCTCCAGAGCTGGGAGGCACTGCACAGGGCCAAGCAGCGTGGAGGTCCTGATTCTCCCTGTCAGGTCAGGAGCATGGGCCAGGAGGGGGCGGGCTGGCCTTCCCCTTGGCTGACTGCTTAGCCTCTCTGATCTCTCTCTTACAGAACCGTGGGTACCGATGGATGTGGCCGAGAGCCCTGAACGGGGTCCATGCTCTCCAGAGGATGAAGAGGAGCAGCAGCAGGGGCTCTCGGATGATGACATTTTGAGGGAGAGCGGGTCTGAGCAGGATTTGGACAGAGCTGGGGGGAGGGCGTCCGACTTGGAGGACGAGGACCACACAGCCCAGGGACTGAGCCAGGGGGAGGAAGACCACTCCGACGAGGAGGGCCCGGCAAGTGAGCCCCACTCTCAGGATCCAGACTCTGAGGCCAACGAGCTGAGCGGGGGCCCCACGAGCCCCCCGTTGGAGGAGGAGGGGGGTGGGCGGGAGGAGGACCGGACCAGTGACCTCAGGGATGAGGCGTCCTCCGTCACTAGGGAGCTGGATGAGCATGAACTCGATTACGACGAGGAGGTCCCTGAGGAGCCTGTCCCTGCCGCCCAGGAGGACGAGGCTGAGAAGGCGGGGGCCGAGGGCGATGAGGAGAAGGGGGAAGGTGCCCCAGAGACAGAGGAGAAGGCAGGGGCTAAGAACGTAGAAGGGAAAGAGCCCCTAGAGGCTGTGAAGGAGAAAAAAAAAGAGGACGACGATGGGGAGATTGACGATGGGGAGATTGACGTAAGTACCCCTGGGCTGAGGTGGGAGGGAACAGCTGCCCGGTGAGGCCACCCACCTCATGCCAGGGAACAGTGGGCCTTCCAATGGCGCTAACTTTGTGATTCCCTCTGCAGTAGAAACGAGGACGTGGGACAGGAGGAAAATTAGTTTATTGCTCTTGGGGGCGTCACCATAGTAATTAGAAAGCGAGTGTTAAAAACCAAGAATGGAAAATGGGCTAGCTTCAGAAACATTCTGTCTGCCACTTGGTAGCTTGAAAAGTGTCTGGGGCAGTTTCCCCCCACCCCCCGTTACTGGTTGGGTTCTTTTGATGTAACCTTCACATTGACGAGAAAGTATCACTAGTGAGTACTCACTAATACTACTCACTGATGATAACTACCTACTGGTAATTCCTGTCTCATCCCAGGTCCAGCCCTCTCGTCCCCACCACAGACTCGCTTCTGTGCGTTCTCTCTCCAGACACCACTGTCAGCACGCTACGCTGTGCCCCACTCTCCCTGTCTCTGGGCGCAAACCAGAGGTGTGCACATTGGTTTGTTAGCAGCAGCCTGGGCTTGGACCTACATCTGGGCAGCCTTGGCCTAGCTCTCTTAGTGGGAATCCCTGGAAAGTAACTTCTGGTCTTTAGTAGAAAGTACACATTCCAGAAGACTTTTCCACCATTGCTTTCAAGCACAGCTCTGGTATCAGAAGTGAACTACTTGCGGTGTTTTTATGAGGAAGAACCTTTACGGTTTGACTTACAATGTCAAAGAATGGGTGTGGGCTGAGGGCTTGGAGAGTCACTTCCCAGTAGGACTCTCACTGGTGGTGAGCATAGAGGCTCCCCAATCCAGAGGGCCCTTCCTGTATCGTCTGCCGTGTGTCCCCTTCCTTTGGCATCCCGGCCCCTGTGGACTCCCAGGTACAACTGGTGGAAAAGTCTAAAAGCTGCTGGCTTTATCATCCTTATAACTTAGTAGTGCTTGCTGTTGTCAGGTTGCCTCGTCCTGCCTTTTTCCATTTAGGCTTTGGCTCGAGTGAAGTAATTCCCAGCTGATTCCCCACCCACCCCCATATGGTATTCTTGATGGTGATATCAATTTATATCATAAACCTTGCAGTCGTTTTGTCTAAACCACAAAATGTGTGATTCAGGCCTTGAATTACCTTTATGTTTTTGGTGTGCTGTGAAAGCATCCCTCCGACAGAGATGCCTTTCCGGAGGGGCCTCTTCCATGCTGGGGTGGGGATGGGATTCTGTGCATTGGCCTGGGGCCTGCTACTCACAGCGCTCAGGCTGCCTTGTGGCACGGGGCCAAGGACTCCACTTACGGCTGAGCCTTATGTGCATGTATTTGAGAGACCGCTCACCTATCCGGGGCATCATACACAGAGAACCAGACTCCACTTGGGCCTTGTTTCTACCTGTGCCATTTCTCAGGAGACTGGACAGAACGTGCCAGAATTGGACCGCCTACTGCATAACAGTCCTTCCTTGTTTCTCCTTCCCCTCTGGTTAGTCTCTCGCATGGCCGTTCCTCCCTCTGGGGTTTGGGGAGCAGTTTGATTGCTCCCTGATCTGCTTGGTTCCACTCTGGAATTGGCCTTCACAGAAGAGTGTCCGCCTCACCGGTGTGTGCAGCATCTCCTTTGCTTCTGACTCAGTTCTGTTTTTGTATCTCCCTTGTTGTGTGGTTAACAGAACCTGAGACAGTCCCTGGGTCCCCCAGCCTTTGGTAGAGCTGCATGTCCTTTTGATCCTGCCATTACCGGTGATGTCTCCCATCTGTTGGGCAGCCTTCCAGAGGCAGTGGCACAGTGGGTGCAGAGCTCAGTAAATAATCGTAGGCCCCCTCGGCCATCATTGGTGGCTCGCTGCCCACCTCCTACTGAATAGTTTGAAGCATCTTCACATGTGGCATTTTATATTTGCTCGTGTTGAACTCTGCCTGTCCCTTATGTGCCTGGATTCAGCCCAGGGGATCTCCCTCAGCTGAGTTTTCTCTCTGGAAAGGCTCTGTTGTTTCCAAGCTGACTGCTATTTGTGTACCCCCTCCGTGTCACTTTCTGGGCGTGAGGTCACAGCACCCCACCCTGATGCTTTGGAGAGAAAAAGCCCGAGTGTTACAAACTGGAATTGCCAGTCCGTCCACACCCGTCACCTGTGTGGGTCTTCAGCCACAGGCGTCCATGCAGGTCCAGCACCCCTGCTCACAGGTGTGAGATCCAGGAAGCTTGAGAACTCATCTGTGGCATACCTAAGCTGAGCTGAGCTGACATAAGGTTCTCCGTGGCCTTGTCTTTATCCCACTCATTGTGAACAGGCACACGTTCCCTTGCAGAAATAGTGCTGTTGATTATAGGGTGCTGTTTCTACCCCACTGTATTGCCTTTCTAAAATCAAAACGTTTCTGAATTCCAAAGACATGTCTGGCCACAAGGGTTTCAGAAAAGGGGTAACAGACCTCTATTTTTATCCCCATTTTATGGATGAGCGAGCTTGTGATTGGCCCGGGTGGCAAGACTAAGGCTCCACCCAGGCTTCTGCTCAGCTTATTCTCTGTGCTCTGTGTCTGTTTCCTGTGACATGGCAGTGCCACATGGTGACTCAGTTTTCTTATCTGCCTTTGTTACTGAGGCTTCAGTTTTTGAAAAGAATCTTTTTTTTATAGTTAAGTAATATGTATCTACAGTTTTTTGAACAGGGAAATAAAAACTTGCACAAGGAAGTAAAAATCACCTATTACATTATTGCTCAGAATTAACTGTGTTTTGGTGCATTATTTCCAAGGACCTTTTCTGTTACGATAACAAGTTTTCATTTTCAGAGCACTTCCTGCTCACGCTTTATGTGAGGCACTGTACGTCAGTACTCTGCAGGCAGCATTTCAGTTAAACTCCATAGCAGTCCTGTGCAGAAGGTGCTCTCTGTTCTGCAAAGAGGAAACCAAAGCTCAGAGATGGAGCAGGCATCCACGTCACCATGGCCAGGACAGAGCAGAGGTGGAGTGAGCATCCACGTCACAATGCAGCCAGGACAGCAGAGCCAGGATGGGAACCCAGGCCTTGATTCCCCAGTGCACACTCGTTTGTATGAAGTCTCTTAAAACTAAAATAGACCTGGATGCCTCTGATCTGCATGCGCATTTACCCCAGGAAGTGCTAGCAGAGGTGTACCAATGGGGCACAGCTGCCTTAGCTCTATATCAAGTGTTGTACGGTCTAATTGTCCTTTGTTGCCCACTCTGGGCACTCCCCCATGCTAGGTGTTGCTGTTGTTCTCGCCTGTTCCAGGTGGCATCTGTGGAGAGCTCCTGGGCTCTTTCCTTCCTGTAGACCCACCAGTGTGCCTCTGACCTGTCCACTCGGCCTCACCAGTGTTCTGGCATCTGCTATCTCCAGTCCGGGTCAGGTAGCCAGAAGGTCATCCGTGTGCAAGGAGCAGGGAAGCCCAAAAGAGTTCCCATCATCACAAACTAGCTGTGACAGTCCTCAATGATGGAGCACGTGTGCTTGCCTCTAGAAGTTGTGTTTGCATGAAACTGTTTATAAGATTTAAGAAATTGTTTTAATCCTCCATCATTTAAAATGCCATCATGCCAAACGAGTGGTTAATTGAAAACTCGGGATACTGTGTTCTATCATTATTATTTTAATTAAAGGACAAGTTCTAAATGTAGTGCACCAGTGTGCATACCCTTTGTTACCTGGGTGGCAAGTGGACTAGATGACCGAGACCAGTGGGTGGCTGCTGTTTTGTGTTCTTTGGGGTCACTGTTCATCTTGTGTGCTGCTTCAGGTGTTGTTGTAGTTTGTTTAGTATTGATTTTCTGGTAGCTACATAGTATCACCATGTGTGGTAATGTGGCTGCTCACCAGTCTGTAGATGGAGAGCACTGACAGTCACACCTTTGCAGAAGCACTTCTTTAAATCTGACCTAGTGCACTGGAGAGGAATCCTAGTTTCTGAAAACAACTCTTTGCACTCCTGGCCTCGCACCTGTGCATAAATTGTCAAGTGGAGCAGGGAGACTTGAATGGGCTCAGACTTCTCAAAGTTTGTTTTGCTTTTTTTGTGGGAACAAAGAGAATGTGCTCTCAACTTAGATTTGAGGTTTTATGAAACGCCACATTAAGGCTTTCGTGCAGTGGTTATTCCATGAGGATAACAGGAAAAAGCAAGCACAGGTTCAAGTTCGTGGCCAGAGGAGAACAGCACTTCCTTACTCTCAGCACTCAGGTGGCATGTGCATGTTGACGCTTAGAGAAATGCACCTTCTGGATAGAACTCTCAGGAACCCCTTCCTTTCATTATAAACCGTTTCTTCTTAACCTAGTAATTTGAAGACAGAAGCCATGCAAATATTTAAGCTTTAAAATTTTAAATAATCATAAATCCAGTGTTTGATTTCAGCATTTATTCATTCAACAAGTAATTGTTGACCACCCCCTGTGAGACTGACAGTGCTCTGGCCTGCACTGAGTGAGTGGACACATTCCCAGTCGGGTGGACAGTGGCCATATTCGTCATTGCAGGGATGTCCATGTGCAGCCATAACACGTGCTACAGAGGGGAGGGCCCATCAGGAAAGCTGCCTCAGGAAGGGGTGGGGCTGTGGCCTGGAATGAGATGAGCTGCATGAGGAAGAGGAGCGGGAAGGGAATGGCCAGGTATGGGGTTTGAAAAGGTCACTTTGCTCTTCAGAGGGGAGATGGAACATTTAGGAGCAGTGTGAGGAGACCATGCTTCGCCACCAGGGAGGCTGGGTAGGTGCTTGGACCAGGGTGATGATGCTGGAGATGGAGAGAGGCTAGGAGGACGCGTGGCTGCAGATAGTGCTGGGGACATAGAGGAGGGCAGGTTGGGGGGAAGGGAGTGGGTCTGCCCTGGACATGGGAAGCTTGATGTGTCCTCAGAATGTGCCAGAGATGTCAGGGTCGGGGGCAGTGGTACTGCTTGGCTGGAGGTGGTCCAAAGAGAGGTGTCCACTGCAGGGTCCACATGGTCTGCTGCTGCTTGGGTCTTGGGGCCCAGGGTGAGGGTGGCTTGGGGAGCACAGAGCAGTGGTTCTGGATCTTGGCCTGGAAATCACCCCTCACCACTAAATCAGAATCCCTGAGGCTAGAGCCAGGCTTATTCTAAAGTGTGTACAGCTGAGGCTGGGAACTCTGACTGTGGGAGAAGAGGCTATCCTGGAGCTGGCTGCAGGGAATGGCATCCTCAGCCTCAGTGGCTGAACTTCCCTCCTCCTGCCTGCCAGACTTTTAAACAAGAGGAAGTAACATGTTTGATTTTAAGGGACTTAAAATCTTTTGTTCAATGGTTTTGTTTAAATGTACAAAAATATTAAAAAGTTGGGGTATAATCATTTCCTGCCGAAAGCTGCTAATTAAGAGAATATACCAAAGCCCAGCTTGTGAAGTGCTTCACGTCCTTCATAGACTGCTGTTCCTTTGGTTCCTCTGTTTAATCCCTCAGTTTGTGAGGAAGCTGTGGAATCATCCCCATTTTGCGGGTGAAGAATCTAAGGTTTGGGAAAGGTACGTACATGGGTAAATGCTGACACATGGTGTTGTGGGGCATCTCAGCCTTCTAGCCAGGCTTGTCATTCTTGCCTGTTTGGTGAGAGCAGTGCCAGTTGGTAGGTTCTCCCCCAGCACGTCCTCTGGGTCTCTGGGTGGCACTTCCTGAGTTAAGATGATCCCTCTCACAGTCTCCTCATCTCTGTTTCAGGATGATGACCTGGAAGAAGGCGAGGTCAAGGACCCTAGTGACAGGAAGGTGAGGCCTCGTCCCACCTGCCGCTTCTTCATGAAAGGTAACTGTCTGGGGGGGTGCCTGCAGCAGCCCTGTATCTGGGTTTCCCTGCCGTGTGGTGGTGGTCCAGCCTGTGAACACCTGGAGCGGGCCCACGGGGCGGCATGTGCTGATGGTGGTGGTGGTATGGAGGTTGCACGTTAGATCCTCTTATCAGTCCTTTCATCACTTTAGAGACTAACCTGGAGGGGCGCCAACTCCAGCCTGCCCACCTACAGCAGACTCTGGTTTAAACAGTGTCAGGCATGTTTATAAGGCCAAATGCCCTCGGCGCCAGCTTTGATATTTTCCCATCTCTGTAAGGAAAATTACTGCTTTTCTGCAAAATATGTCAAGATACATCCTGCGTTTGGAGTGGATTTGTAAATGGCCCAGGGGAGGCCTCTGAGAGCAGGAGGCTGTCTCTCTCCTGTAGCATGAACACTGTGCACTAAGCAGCTGAATCAGGTGACAGTGTGATAAACTCTTGTTCAGCAGTGAGGACTAGCAACATTTTTAAATGTGTCATAACCCTCTAGCGTTAGATACTATGTCTCTTCTGTTTTGTTTTGTGAGTCTTGGGCGATTGGAAACGGAAATGAGTGTTTCTGGTCTTTAAGGGTGTCTTGGATGTGCAGAGTTAGTTTCAGCATGTTTCTTGTGATTGGCTTTTCCCTTGGTCAGGTAGGAAGATGTTTCCTCCTCCTCTGCGTCTTAACTGGCCCAGCCGGCACCACCCCTAATGCTCACGCCTTCCTGTGTACTTCTCTTCCAGATGTTGTGCCACCATTATCCACTCTTCCACCACTATCAAATTCCATACCATTCAGAGGCCAGGTTAAAGGTACAAAAATATGCTCTGTTCACTCTTTAGCCCCTTAAATTCCCACTGCTCCAGAGGCTACCCTTCTTCGGATCCAGAGCCTAGCTGTGAAGCCGAAGGACGGGATGGGCCCTGGGACAGGGAGCTGTGTGGACCTCTGTGCTCGGAGGGGGTACTGGAGCAGGCGAGGGCTGCAAAGTGAGGCTGCAGTGGGGGGCATGCAGGGGGTGCGGGCAGCCCGGGGAGGGCAGGAGGTGGGGGCACAGTGGGTTCTGCACCTGAAATGGCCCTGTCAGTCATGCAGAGAGATGACCTGTGATGAGGGGTGAGGGGAGCTGGGCACTGATCGTCTCGGCCTGGTCCCTCTGGGCGTGTGCTCGAGGGGAAGCTGTGCTCATGGGGAGGGGGCAGCTAGCCTGCTTCCATGATGGTTGTCGTTTTTGCCAGGAGAAGGCAGTGGACGCACGCAAGTAAATGTGTGCATGGTGGGCCTCTCCCATGCTGCAGCCTGCGCCCTGCACCGGCAGTGGCCGCGCTGTGTGGGCCTCAGGGTGGGCATGGACGCCCAGTGAATGGTCGCACACTGGAAAGAAAGCACAATGACCAGCACAGCCACTGAGGAGAACAGCTGAACGTGTAAATAATATGTTTTAGAAAGTAAAATTGTTCAGGTCTTTAAAAGCTGATATTGGAGGTGTCCATATTCAGAAATTTTAAACTTAAGCAGAAGACTTCTTTTCCATAATGATGTGGAGAAAAAGCAGAGTCAGCCATCTCTTAAATTTCTAAAGTGATGAGGGAAAAAATATGTATGTATATATACATATATATTTGTCTGTGTCTGCATCTCTTCCTGTCCTTGTTGGAGGTTAGCACTGTCTACAGGCGGCTCACATACTGTGTCTGGTCTGTTGGTGGCAGTATGGCTCTGTATGTGGTCGGGCCCCTTGGGACTGGCCGGCAGTTCCCACAGCAGGAGGCAGTGTTGTCCACCATCTGGGCCACGGAGCCCTGGTACAGGTTTTCAGGAGTGCCATTTGCTGAACTCATTTCCAGAGTTTGCAAACAAGCAAATGAAGTGAAATCATTACTGGAAACTGCAGTGCCCATCACTGAGCAAGGCCTTGGTGGATGAGCAATGGGAGGCGGCCCCACAAAATCAGAATAGAGTCTCAGCAGGCCTGTAGGTCACAGTCCTCTAGGAAGTGGGACCTCCAGGGCTACACTGAGTGCTGAGCTTGGGTTTCTGGGAGTCAGACCCTGTGTGGGAGTTTCGACAGAGGATCTGAAGGAAGCTAGTGGCAAGCCGGCTTTTTCACAGCTTAATTGGGTATTATCAGTAGCTTTTGTCGCAGAAATACTGTTTTAATATATTTAGATCCCTCCTCCCTGCTGTTTGTTTATTCTGCAGTGTAGTATGAGAAAGTACAGAAGGGAACAGCTGATTCTGTTTTCTAGAATATGTCTTATTTTTCTTAGTTATGAGAAGTTAATTTGACTGTATTTTTTTTGCTTACCTACAGTTTGTAAGTTTAGTGTCAAATTGAGATAAATTAGTGTTTTCTCCAATAACCAGAGAAATCATTATAAAAATAAAATTAAGTTTGTTGTGTTGGGAGGATGTGGAGAAATCAGAACCCTCATACACTGCTGTTGGGAATGTAAAAATTGGTGCAGCCACTTCTATGGAAAAGTTTGGCAGTTCCTCAGAAACTTAAAACATAAAGTTACCATATAATACAGCAGTTCACTACTAGGAATTTAACTCCAAAAGAAATGAAAATATATACCACACAAAAATACATGACGTAGACACTTGTACATGAATGTTCATAGTAGCATTATTCATAATAGCCAAAAAGTGGAAGCAACCCACAATGTCCATCAGTGAATGAAGGGATAAACACAATGTGGTCCATCTAGACAGTGGAATTTTATTTGACCACAAAAAGGAATGAAGCACTGATACACTACAGTGTGGTTGAACTTTGAAGAGATTATGCCAAGTGAAAGAAGCCAGTCACAAAAGGACAAATATTGTGTGGTTCTGTTTCTATGAAATGTCCAGAATAGGCAAATCCACAGAGACAGAAAGACGGTTAATGGTTGCCAGAGTCTGAGGGGAGAAGCAATGGGGAATGACTGCTAATGGGTTTCTTTTTGGGGTGATGAGAAAGTTCTTGATAGTGGTGATGGTTTCACAGCTTTGTGAATATACTAAAAACTATTGATTTTTGCACTTTAAATGGGTGGATTTTATGGTGTGTGAATTATAAAATTCTGTTTCACGTTGTGATCTGTAGATTAATCATAATTGCTCAGATGAACTCATTAATATTTGCAGCCATTGACAACAAAATATGTTAGGAGTACAACTGGGAAACATTTTAAAGCCCTAATACTTTGTTTATGGTGTATTTTTTCCTGACATATATTTGTGTTGAATGATCAAGACACAAAATTATATCCGCAAAGGAATCGCGTTTTTCTTAAACTTGTCCTGCTTTAGGCTTGTGGTCTACCCTCACTGTGGTCCACATCAAGCTCATGCATGTGCCAGACCTCCTGGTTTCTGCTCCTTCGTTCTCTCTTGTTTAAAGCAGTTCTCGAAGTGTGGTCTGTGGACCCCGGGGATCCTTGAGACCCTCCTAGGAGTCCCCGAGACCCTCCCGGGGTCTCTGAGGTCAAAATTATTTTCATAGTGATATTAAGACAGTGCTAGTAGTCATGTGCCCACTGCTGTGCACTTCAGCAGTGCCAGCTTCACTGAATGATGTCGATAACAGCAGTGAGAATTATGATTTTTTTTTGTTTTTAATAATTTTATTTTTGTTGTTGAGAATATGCAGAGCAGAACATACACCAGTTAAACATTTGTTTCTACCTGTACAATTCAGTGACATTGATTACATTCTTTGAGTTGTGCAACCATTCTCACCCTCCTTCTCTGAGTTGTTCCTCCCCCGTTAACATAAATTCACTGCCCCCTAAGCTTCCTATCTAATCTTTCAAGTTACTGTTGTCAGTTTGATCTCATATAGATAGATCTTAAAGGAATATAGTGCTCAAGGCAGACATTCTTTACTAGTTAAGCTGAACTTTGGTTTTAAGAAGACTTCAGGAGATATTTTTGGTTTAAGGTTTAAAGAGTATCTCAGGGCAATAGTTTTTTCAGGGGTTCATCCAACCTCCATGGCTCCAGAAAATCTGGATTCCATGAGAATTTGAAGTTCTGTTCTGCATTTTCCCCTTTTTGGTCAGGAAAGAATTAGGATTTAATTAAATCTCGACACTTGAGTACAGGTTTCAAAAAAACAAACTATATCGATGTATAATTAACGTGCCATTAAACACCCATTTTAAGCATACAATTCGATGATTTTTAGTAAATTTACCAAGTTGTGCAACCATACCATGGTTCAGTTTCAGATCCTCTCCATCACCCCAGTAAGATCCCTCAGTACACATCTTTTCAGTATTCAATATGACAAATGCCGTAGTGCAGCGACAGTCGTTAGGAGGAAAAGCCTGTGTGCAGTTACTTGATCAGCAAGCTGAGCTAGCCACTCTTTCTGTGGAACACCATTTTTACTTGAATGATGACAAATTATGCTTATTTAGGCTTGGATACTTGGCAGTTATTTTCTCAAGAATAAGTGTAGTGAGCCTGCCCCTTCAAGGAAAATAACTGGCAGTATTTATGGCTCATGGTAAAATTCACACTCCCAAACTTGTATCCACCACCATGAGCTTGGCAGCTTCGCAGTACAGTGTTTTCCAGATATTTTCCACATGACTATTGCATGATGCTACAGAACCATCCCTGGGTAAAAGATCCACTCAAAGTTCAGGGTAAGACCAATGAATTTCCGTGCAACAGAGCCTTGAAAAGTTCAGTGGTAGGATTACAGATTCCACATTGCAGCTAACCTTATAAAAGCTTTCATTTGTGGAGGTTGGTGTAGTATATCAAAGAAGAAGGTCCCAAAGTATATGGAAAGGTTATTAACATACTTTCCCCTTTTCCAGCTGCATCCTTGTGTAAGGCCAGGTTTTCCTCACATAACTTCATCAGCCCTCACCACCAGTTGAATCAGAAACAGAGGCCATAGCACCCTTCTTCCCGTTTTTTTAGAAAGTTATTTTTCATGACCTACTTATGTTAACATATGTTGAATTTGTTGTTTTAAAATAATAAAATGTCTTTTAAACTTTTCAGTTTTAATTTCTAGTACAGTAACTATCAATAGAGATAACCCATATAGACAAAGGTGCTTTGGGTCCTGGGACCAAAAAGTGAGAGAACCATGAATTTCAAGTACACGGTCTTTACAAAGAAGCAGCCAAGAAATTACCTTAATTGCATCAGCTGCCATGATGAATGTATTCCTTAAGGAAGTTAAAATCTCTCAAAATATTTTTGTTGTGACGGTGGTTTTCTGTCTGTTGCAGCTCTATGAGATAGGAAAGGACGTTACTCAGGAGTGCTTTATAGTTGTGTCATTAATGCCATAATGAGCTGCTTGTGGTTCATTGTGGTCTTGTGTCTGTTAGAGTAATGTTTGTCCCTTAGATTTTATTATTAGATTTGTTACAATATTCTGCTTTCCTTTCATGAAGTTGGTTTTTTTTTTTTTTTTTTTTTTTTTTGTGATATAATTTTGTTCTACATTTCTCTCTCCAGCTCTGTCCAGAACCCTTTTTTTTAATGATGAAGCACTCTAAAATTCTTTATTTTGACACTGTCTGTATTTATTATCTTTTCTGAGTTATTCAGAGTGGAGGGAAGGGAGTCAAAGGTTATTTAAATAAGACTAAGACCACTTTGTCAGGAACAGTCTTTGTTTAAAATCCCAGTGTGAAGCAAGGGCTTTGTACAGAAAGTTAGAGAGATACCATAAAGTTATTTCAGTTGTTCTGATAGTATGCCCTGCAGATACAGTGACAGTACAACTGTACACATACTACCAGCACTTTACTGATGACCAAACACACACATCAGAATAGTTCAGATTCTGACAGTGTTTCTGGATCTAACACACACACACACGTGACCATGCACACAGCCTGGTGGTATACACACGCCGACCAAGCACGGGCCCATGGCCCAGGATGGTTTCTTTCCTGAGGTGCTCACTCACTTGAACAGAGTCATTTCCCCTTGGGCTGGGTGGATGTGTAGCCGATGCCAGGGATGCTGCTGTGTGAAATCTGGCCTTCTGTCACCGTGTTTGGGTTTTGTTGCTGTTAAGCATGTACGTTCCTTTCTCCTAGATATATTGCTTAGTGGGAAAAAAAAGCAAAGTTCAGCATGAGCATATAATATGCCCAGGGAAAAATGGAGGTGACAACATTGATTGATTGGTCACCAGTGAATTGGTAACTCCCTCTGGTGGCCATTCCTGGAGGTGGGAGTAGCGAGACTTTTCACTGTGTATCTTTAATAGTGTTGTAATATTTTATGTTTACATGTCTTCCTTTTTAAATTTGTTTTATGATGAGATATTTCATGTATACAAAATAATATAACACTTATGCAAGGTATGAAGAGTAATAAAGTAGTTGCTGATGTGCCCACCATCCAGTTGAGAAGTAGAGCATTATCAATGCCTTTGAAGCCCTTTGTGTTCTCCCAAAAAAACACTGAGAGGTTTCAGAAGTGAAGAAACGTTGGGTTGGCCCCACCCTGCCATGACTGTCCGTTTCTCCAGGTCCCCTTCTAGTATAGCCCCACCCCCAGCGTAGACACAGAGCCCTGACATCATTGTAAGCCTCCTTCTTTACACAGTTAGAATCACAATCTACATGAACTGTGTCTCACAAAGTTTCACCTAGAAGCAAAGAACCATATAATTTTGAAACTAGAAGGTCTTTATTTTTGCTTCCATTTCCTGGAGAATCTTCTTTTTCCCTTTTTTTATTTTTTTTAATTATGAAAACAATATGTGCTGACAGACAGTAAAGAAAACGAAAGTCTTTCTTCACAGTCCTGGCAGTTCTTTTCCTACAGATAAAATGTTCATTTTTTAAAACATAAGTGGGATGACAGTAGTCCTGTTCTCTTTGTGTCTCACATGTACTGGACGACTGTCCTCGCTGGGACATGGGGACCAACCACACTTTGTCGTGGACAGGGCTCTCCTTTCTCTTGGTGGCCTGGACCTGAGGCGTGCGCTCGGCGAGGAGCGGGCTGCCCGTCAGCCAGGGCTCCAGGCTCTCGCCCTCCGCCTTCTTCCTCCGAGACTCCATGCGTGGTTGTTCCTCATTGGCCTTGTTGCCCTGACAGTGTGAGTGATAAGTGATCTCTTGATAGTGGGATCCTAGGTGATATTTTGTTTTGAAAAAATTTTTAATACAGAAACGAGCAGAGAATAACAAATAACCCACATGTCCACCACCCAATGCATGACTGTTTTAAACCTCTTTGAGGCTCTAGAATTTTGAGCCCCTGTGAAGCAACATTCCCCAACCTCTTTTAACTTGTATGTGATCTCTTAAACCCTCTTAGGAATTTTAAAAATTTTGCCATTCTTAAACACTCCCAGAGAAGCAATTTTAAGCATACTTTAGTATTTAACTTAGATCAACGTTTTATGCTGTATTAGAAGTTAGTTTTAATGTAAACTTAAAAAAGAAACCAAACCCGTTGCTATTGAGTCGCTTCCGACTCATAGCGACCCCACAGGACAGAGTAGAACTGCCCCATAGGGTTCCCAACCTATGGCTGGTGGATTCGAACTGCTGACCTTTTTGATTAGCAGCCAAGCTCTTAACCACTGCACCACCAGGGCTCCAGTATATCAAAATGTGGTTTAAAGTTTAACTACACATTAATACATTGAAAATGTTTTTTAAAACTGCTTAGACACGCCTTATTTTTCAACTATGTGAGCATGTTAATCCATTCCCAAAAAAAGTGGCACACTCACTAGTTAAAAGCCTGGTTCTTACGTTCTGCACTGAAAAGTCATGTGGTTTCCTTTAATAATTCCATTGTTCTGTTGCTGTGTGATGCTATTGCTGTGTGATGCTAAAAGGCAGGTTTTGATTCCTATTTGCAAGCAAAGTTTAGAAGCCAAATTTATTATCATTGCCAGTGTGTTTTCTTTTAACACATTTTTTAAGTACTAGAGATATCCTGAAGTGGTTTGTGAAAATTTGGGTAAGAGAGGATGCAGATTTACAAAGCTGGTAAAGATTACCCCGGGACAAATGTGCAGACTTCTGATATTTTTATGCCTCTCATTAATTCCTACTTTGGTGTTGATGTTTTTTGGGCCAGAGTAAAAAGTATGTTAGTGTGTACCTGTGAGACCCAGCATGGCAGCCAGCAGTGTCCCCTGAGCAGGGACCCTCTAAGGGGGGGATGTGAGGGGACCACGTGCCCTCCAGCTGCCGGCCGTGGTGCCACTCAGAGCCAGGAGGCTCTCAGACCTTCCTGTCCTGGAGGGAAGGTGCCTGTTCTCAGAGCCGGAATATGTTGACACGTTAGAAAGGGGCTTTGAAACAGGTGCTGTTTCGCCTTTAAAATGTGAGCGCAGTCCCCTCCAGGAGCCCTTGAGAGCTGACAGCCCTTTAGACGTGGTGTTTCATGGGAAGGTCCCTTACCAAGGGTGCTGCACAGACCCCACGGGGCCTGCCTGCTGTGGGCTCCCCATGTGCACAATGCACAGGTGCGGTGACCGAACCCAGGCCCTGCCTTCACAGTGGCAAGGCTGGGTTCCCCAGGCTCGACTCCCCCACTTTACTGGCCTGCGAGGGCTCATTCAACAATGTGTGGAAGTACCTAGCATGCCAGCTGCACGTCAGAGATCCTCGGTGACTGCTGGCTGTTGCTGCGGCCGATAGCACAACGGCACCCCTGGTGCGTGCATTGGGTGCTGAGGACGCCTCCTGACTGGCTTTTGTCTCCACAGGGAACTGCACCTGGGGGATGAACTGTAGATTCATCCACCCCGGCGTGAACGACAAGGGCAACTACTCCCTGATCACCAAAGCCGAGCCCTTCCCACCGAACGGTGCCCCGCCTCTCGGACCGCACCCGCTGATGCCCACCAACCCTTGGGTGCGTGAACTTCTCTCTGATCATGGCCAAGTCAGGACTCCAGCCCATTTGTGCATTTCAAGCTTACAACAAATTAATAGACTTCACGTAAAGGGCATTGTTGTGACTACAGAGTCACATAGCTGCCTCTCTAGAAGCTTCTGTTGCTCCAAGGAGAAGGTCACCCCAGACCCGGGGAGGCCACGTCCAGGGCTGCTGAGCCTCGGGTGAGAGCAGCAGTGCTTGGCCGGCTGGTGTATCCGTGGATGGTTTTGCTCCCCTGTTTCATTATCGATTCTAACATTTTCTTTCTTTTCTCTTCTTGTTTTTCTAATAGGGTGGGCCAGTAGTCGATGAAATTTTGCCTCCACCCCCTCCAGAACCCCCAACAGAGAGTGCCTGGGAGCGAGGACTCCGGCACGCAAAAGAGGTAACATCTGAGAGGAAAAGATGGGTGGTCCTTGCACCAAGCACACTGATCCATAGAGTGATGGGAGACTCAGCAGAACCTCAGCACTGAGACTGCATTGCTGTGGTTTCTTTCAAGACTTGGAGAATGGGAAATGAGGTCTGCCTGTCACCTAGGTGGGATAGGTCACAGGCAGGTCCATCCCTGCAGGCCCAGTGCAGCCTGTGCCATGCGGAGCACTGCCCAGAGAGACAGCAGCACACTGAGGCAGCGCAAGCCTGCCTCCCCTCCTCTCACCCATCAAGGCCAATTGCACTTCTCTGCTGAGACCCCTGTGTTCATGCCAGGGCTTCCCGCACTCCCTACCCTGCACGCTCACACTGAGTCTGATGTCCAGGTGTGTGCTCGTGCCAGGCCCCTCACACTCCCTTCCCTGCACACTCACACTGAGTCTGATGTTCAGGTGTGTGCTCATGCTAGGCCCCTCACACTCCCTACCCTGCACGCTCACACTGAGTCTGATGTCCAGGTGTGTGCTCGTGCCAGGCCCCTCACACTCCCTTCCCTGCACACTCGCACTGAGTCTGATGTTCAGGTGTGTGCTCATGCCAGGCCCCTCACACTCCCTTCCCTGCATGCTCACACTGAGCCTGATACTCAGGCATGTGTTCCTGTAACGAGCCATTTAAATGATCAGTCCTTCTCGGCCCTCCAAGTCAGTGTACCCCCAGCGAGTTAACAGAAACAATCCTTTTCTTCCTCACACCCTCAGCGCACACTCAGCCACATTCTCGTCTTCTGGACTTTATAGGCTTCCTGGGCCGTTTCCCCCACATACCTGCAGTGAGCCGCCCTTATTCCTTACCGTGCCCTCTCCTCATCCCGGGGCTTGGCACTGAGTGGACCTGTTGGGCTCCGGCAAAAGTCTAGGGCTGGTTACAGGAAGTGACGAGACCTAGACTTCTGAGTGCACGAAGCCCGTGGCTGGAGTGGGAGTGCCTGGGGGGCAGGGCCAGATCTGGGCTGCAGGCATAGGACAGACACAGGACTGTGTTCCGGGCTCCTGCTCCCCTCCCCTGGGCCTCGGGGTATCTGTGCCAGCCTCCGAGCTGCCCCTCCTGCATGGTTGCCTGCCAACGCCGGGGGTTTTGGAGCCACATTGGGAGCTAGGCACCACTTTATTGCCTTCATAGTGACTGTTGTGCTTTCGTTCTATATTGACTTCTCTCCTTATTATGGCAGGTTTTAAAGAAAGCCACCATTCGGAAAGAACAGGAGCCTGACTTTGAGGAGAAACGGTTTACAGTGACCATTGGCGAGGACGAGCGGGAGTTTGACAAAGAAAATGAAGTTTTCCGAGACTGGAACTACCGGATCACAAGGGATGTCCGAGATACAGCGTAAGGCCCATTCTCTGTGTCCTCTCCTCTGGAGAGGGGGCTCAGAGCTGCAGCGAGGCCATGCTCGGGGCAGCAGCCTGGAGGGGCAGCCCTGAATGACTCAGACATCCTCTTTGCGATGACCTCTGCTCTGGTTTTGATTTCGTAAAGGGAGTTTGTGAGCCCTGTGTGGGGGCACGTGGACTGGAGAGGCTTCCCTATCGGGGTTCTTCCAGGTCCTGAGGAGGCCTGTTCTGAGCCCCAGATCCAGCCTGTCTCACCTCTCACCCCTCCCCACATTACCCAGGACCAGAAAAGCCCATGAAACCTGTCGCTGATATCCAGACACATGGCAGGGAAGGCTCTTTTTATCACATGTGCTGTGTATTGTTTCTCCTACCCGGACAGTTCATCACTGGTCTTCTAAAAATAATCACAGAAGAAGTCCATGCTGGCTGAAAAAATAACCGTCAAACTTTAGGAATTGTGTAACATAAAGAGTCGGCTCTCCTCTCCACCACTCCTGCCCTTGAGGCGACCAGGGCTTCTTAGAAATCACCTTTGCAGGTATAGAAACGGGTGCTGTTTCTGCCTGAGGAACTCAAGGTACAGCTGTGGCCGGTCAGTGGCCCGGGCTGGTTTCTGCAGGCTCTAGTTTTGTAACAGTCTCCACCCATGCTTGTGCTGTGGGAGAGTCATCCTCGCTGTGGCTCAGAGCTTACAAGATGGTAAAGGGAATGCTGACTGGGACCACAGGGCCATCTTGGGCTCTAGGCGTCCATACCTGTCAGCAGGTAACAGCTCAGAGGTTGAAGCTTAGAGATTTGACAACATAGTTAAAACTTAAACGTTTTCTAACGAAACCTTAGTGAGTGGAGACAAACTTCAGATCCCAGGAGGGGCGTCTGGGTCAGAGCCGAGTCTGGATTCTCTGTTGGGTGGCATTGGGAGTATCGCTCAAGCCCTTTAGGGCTCAGGTTCCTTGTGTGAAATGGGGTATGGACTTTGTCCTTCCTGGAGGGCAGTGTGTGGGCTTGCGAGAGCCTGTGGGTACATAATTTGGCAAGTCTGTGTAGTTATTTAGTGTGAAAGGGGGAGCTTAGAGCCTTGGTTTACCCTCTTACCTGTTCCCGTCTCCCCTGGAGGGGCAGAGGATTTACATGTGTGCCTGATTGTAGGCAGGGGAAGGGACTGCATGGTTTGAGGGGCACCCGTAGTGTGCACGGTTTGGAGATCTGCCTGGTATACAAGCAGGTATGCAGTTGTCTTGGCCGTGGTGTCTTGGTGCTGGGTAAGGGGGTGCTTCAGAGTGCAGATGGCTCATGACTCTGCCTTCTGTCAGAGCAAAGATGTGGCTAGGCCTTCCCCCTTATCCCAAAGCCAAGCTCACTGGTGGTTTGGTTTGGTTTGCTAACATCCACTCGCATCCACATTAATTCTGGGGCTTTTGCAAAGTGCCCGTGCTGGGCTCCCCCAGACCAGATCAGAGCCTTGGGTTTGGGCCTGGTGCACTGTGCTGGAGTGAAGCCCAGATTGCCGAAGGAAGTGGGCTTAGGAAAAGCCACCACTCTGTCACCATGCACCTCTCTGTATTGCACCTGCAGCCCAGAGGCCTTTTTTTTTTTTTTAATTGTACTTCAGGTGAAGATTTACAGAACAAATAGCTTCTCATGAAACAGTAGTACACATATTGTTTTATGACATTGGTTAACAATCCCTCAACATGTCAACCCTCTCTCTTCTCTACCTTTTTTTTT